TTTTTTAAAAAAATACAAATAAGAAAGAATTAAATATTTTTTATTATTTTAAAATTATTTTACTTTTCTATTTACCATCAAATACCAATTCTAATCCTGATAACTTTAAAGTAATATGATAATGTTAGACTCTTCTTTATTTTCTTTCTTTGTAAAATCTAATTTTCTATTTCCTTCTCTCCTATCTTTTTTTTCCAATATTATTAAGTGTAAAAAAAATTTGAGAAAATCCTTTTATTTTTATGTTTTTGGATCTCTTAAAGGGAAAACAAAAGGAAGAATAACCATTCCAACTTTTTTATTTTTAATTATATATAAAAAGGGTAAATACATTTAAAAAAATTTTACCATACTAAAAATGAGGTAAAATACCTATAAAATAATGTTAGGGATTAAAACGGTTGTATTACTATAATTTAAAGAGATAGAGTGAGAATACCAATGTAGTAACGATATATAAGAAAAGGGTACTTTTATCCAAAATTTCTTAATATGTTGAGTTGAATTATCTTTGTGGGTGAAGTGACTAAAAAATAACGTTATGGGGTAAATTGATAGTAGTGATAGAGTTTAAGGGGGTAAAGTGATAATAACCCTATTATTTATTGAACAAAAATATTATACCAAGTGAACTTATCACACTTAACTTAATCTAAGAACCAAAAAATCATTTACAATCATCCAATCGTGAATTTTAACCTAAAGGTATACTGAAAAAATGAGTATTGCATCTCACAAAGATAACGAACAGATGCCATAGAAGATATAGTTTGCTCTTAGTTGTCAGGAGAAAGTTAAAAACAAAAGGAAAAAACACAACGAAAAGGTTACTGTGGATAAAAGAGAAGAAGGGAGAGGGTTGAATCTATGATGACAATTTGAGAATATTATTCTAGAATTTTCAATGATGTGAGAAAGAGATTAACCATTATTTCAATTTTTGTTGTTTGTTTTGTAGTTAACTTTTGCACTGGCTTCAATCAATACTCAGACCGTGTTCAAGGGGCCTAAGATTCCTGGCACATCATTAGGCAAAGTTATACTCAATCTTTTGTTCTTCTTTTTAATTTGTAGCAATAATTAAACTCACTTTTATCATTTTGCTTAATCTTTACTTATGCTATTGGTTGGCCCACGCCTTAATCATTGTCCTAGCATAGCATTACCTAAGCTTTTTGGCTGTCTTAGATGCAAACTAGGTCTTTATATATAAATCCTACCTATTGGTTATTGATCTTAATAAAATATGTAATTCTTCTACCCAACTTCTTTTTTTTTTTTAAGATTCATAATTAAATGTGGTTTAAGTTTTTAATTATTTATAGTCTTGTCAAAATCAGATGAAGGGCAGTCTTGTCAAAATCAGATGAAGGGCCTCTACAATTGCTAGTGGTAATTGCAATGTAAGTACTAAAATAATAAATGTAGACACCAACACAATAATATGCAAAAACTTAGCAAATTTTCTCATTTGTGGAAATTTATGCCCAAAAGCTGGTATTAGTGTCTATATTTATTCTTTTGTGCTTAAATTTGTTCTGCTAGTATCTACACCGTAGGGTACATCATCAGTTGTAATTGTAGAGGCTCTTAGAGAATCAGAACCATCTTATCTGACCAATGCCCTAATTACAAATACGTAAATCAAAACTCAAATTTCCTCCAATACAAATACACATTCCTTCATCTCCATTTTAAGTACAAAACTACTCCTTAAGTTGTCTGTTTTAACCAATCCACAATCCCAATGCAAAAATAAGAAGTAAAATCTTTTGAGTTTTGAGTTGAAAGAAAAAAAATATATTATATTTACCTGCAAATTTTGTTTATTTTTTCTTCTTCATTTGATCAAAATAGTTCAAACCAATCAAGATTACATAGCACCATTTAGTATATCTTTAAATTGGATAACCAACTGTAAAAGAACTTTAAGATTCAAGAACCTATAATGCTCGAGCATCTACACTGTATTTAACTTTTTTTTTTTTTAGTGTAAGCAGAAGGACTCGAATCGAGACCTCTCACTTACACTCCCTTCTCCCGTACCGCCCAACCCAACCCTCCCCTACACTGTATTTAACTTTACTCTATATTAGGTGAAAGAAAAGTGAAATTTAGCAGCATTTTCTCTACTAGGGAACAACAGAAATAAGCCGAGCAAATGTATGTGCTCTTAGACGAGCGTATATCTATGTTATTGCCTCGTACAATTGGTCCCATAATCAAGTTTGATGAGCCAAAAATTCGCAAAAAAAAAAAAAAAAAAAAATATTCCTGTGGTCCCAAGAAATATCAAGATAAGCTTTGAAGTCTATTTGTGTGTGGGCCTTTGCTGTTGTTTGACAAATAATCAAATAAAAGCAGTTTGCAACATGCATGTGCTCAACTTGTTTTTTTTTTTTCCACAAATATTTTCAAGACAACAACATCATGCAAAAATGAAATTTTATCAATCAACACTAGTAATGAGAGGAGGACAAGGGCGGGCTCTAGCTTGTCCCATTTTAGAATCTAATGTGTAGCCTAAGAAATTAAATTTGAAGTATTCCAGCGATTATCCTAGGAAGATTTGATTCAAAGAGATTTATATCATGGATTAATCTTTTTTCTATATTAACAGTATATACCATGTCAGTATTTGATGAATAACAATTATATGAAATTTAAATTTGAATTCAACTTTTGCACATATGTCATAAATCAAACGGTGATAGTATATACACTGTCAATGTATATAAGATTTACTCTTGTATTAGTGGTGAATTTTGTACTGATAAGAAAATTTATGTAAAGTGAATTGCGCTGTACTCCTCAAAGTATAGGATACACCCTATTGAATAAAAAATCGTATTTCAATGAATTTTTTTTTAAAAAAATAGGTAGGTCACAATGCTTATTCTATAGATATTACGAAAAGAAATGCGCCATGCCAAATGAAAAGTTTCTCCAAATTTTTGTCTTCAAACCTTTCGCTGAAAGTTACTCTAGGCATATGAGCGATGCTCTTCTTTTCTTTTCTTTGACTTTTCTTTCGTTAACGCATTTATTTCTTTGATGCATTACTCAAAAGAAGAAAAGGTTACGTTTTACCACTTGAACTAACTCTTACAGTCAAATGCTTCATAAGCCATGATTAAAAATTTATCAGGTAATCTCAAGATGTATCTAAGGACAAGGGTTTTACCCTATTTTTTTTTATAAAAAAAATCCACTTCCCCCTTCTTCTTGCAACCAAAAAAAAAGAGGGGGGGGGGGGGTAGAGCTAGAGTAACAATGTGTTAATGTGTTGCTTTTTTCATGGATAACTTGAGCCATTTTGATTATTATTGATTAAATTAAACTAAGAAATATTATATTCATTACAGCACAGAGATGGAGAGAAGTTAAAGCAAAGAAAAAAAAAAGAATCTATCTAACGAGTGCCCGTAGAAAAGGATTAAAATGTATTTTAAGTGCTAAATTTTTAGAAATATAAGATTAATTAAGAAAAGCATATAAATGTAAATTAATTAATTATGAAAAGCATATAAATGCAAGGGAATATAATAATTGTTAGTGTGTGTATACATGATAGGTTGGCTGGAATGTTAGTGTTTTAACGAATATCCGTTAGGCACCCGTTAGAAAACTCAAAAAAAATAAAAAAAAGCATCAAAACAATTAGATTCAAATTTTCTTTGATCAACAGTGTGTTCTTTTAAGTTTTGTTTCACATGTTTGTTCTTCTAACTTCTCATACCAAGTCAAGGCTCATTTAATTAAATTAGTTGTTGCCATTGTTCTAAGCTTTTTCTACCTGCAGGCTCACTCAAATGAAAGCTATAAAATAGAGAAGCCAAGCAAAAAGTGCCAATCCCTTCTCTTTTTTTTTTTTTTTTTGGAAAAACCCTGTAGTGTACAAAATCCTCTTACTTTTTCTGGGAGTATTTAAGACGGCCGGTTTATTCATTTCTCTCTCCCCACCGCTGTAATTAATCAGAAATCAATATCTCAGCCAATATACTCATAAAGAATGCAACTTTCTATGTCTGTTTATACTTTATTTTACAATTACACCGGCCCTATAAAACTGTCAAAGTATATATGTATTCAATTAAAATAACTGAAAATAAGACCCTACTTTTAAAAATAAAATTAGCCCAAAGCCAAAAAGAAAATAAAAAAGGATCAAGTAATTTTGGTCCTGAATGTGCAATACACATAAATAGTCCCCAATTTTTTATAAAAAAAAAAAAAAATTTGCTAGCAGTCCCCAATGTTTTAGTGAGAACAAGAACTCTAGAAGTCTAATTTCTCTGTAAAGTTCATATAATTTAGGCAATTGTCAAATATGAACATTACAAAATAGTAAACACAAGTTAAAACTGTTTCTTATATCATGAATATGTTTTTTCAATCTATTTTTTATTGCACATATATTACACGACAAAATAACATTCTAATAAATTTTCTAAACAAGAACACACTCAATGATTATCAACTTGGAACTGTGATATTTACCACCCTAAGAATAAATTTTTTTTTCTTAATTCCTGAATCGTTTTTGAGAGTTGGTTGGGGGTCCAAGAATTATAAATTCTGGGTTCAAATCCCTCTTTCCCCTCCCTATTTTTTAAATCTTACATCTCTTTCCTATACAAAAGTGAAAAAAAAAAAAAAAGAGATGTATATCTATTGTTAGGGCTATTATATAAGTGTATTTGTTATATTATATAAGTGTATTTGTTATATAATATTGACTAAAGTGCATATAATTTTCTTGTAATTTCTCACCATGTGTAATAGGAATTTTTTTTTTTTGGTGAATTAGTGTAATAGGAAGTTAGTAACTTAGATTTTGTCAATTGGACTTTTCTCAATGTAAATTGGAAACCTTAGGCACTAAATTTGATTTTAAATGAATTTTTAGAAACTAGATATTCAATCTTTGAGGACCAGAGTCACAGATGTGCGACAGCCAACCGCAAGACAGTGACCCTGTGAGAATCATGTGACCTACACACCTATGCTCATGCTCTTTTTTCACTCTTTTCCTACTCTCTCTTTTCTCTGTGTTCTTGTTTCATAAAGCCCAAAGGGAAACAAAAAAAAAAAAAAAACCTGGCCATCCATCAGTCATCACCCACTCAACCACCATAAACATCATCCCTTTTGTCCTTTTCTGTGTTTTCTTCCTCTTCATTTGATTAGTATTATCAATTCTCAAGGCCTTTCTGCTTCTTTAAAGTTTGAAAATTTTGATGTCCAAATGGCTACAAGTGCTTCAAGATTCATCAAGTGTGTGACTGTGGGTGATGGTGCTGTTGGCAAGACTTGCATGCTAATTTGCTATACCAGTAACAAATTTCCCACTGTGAGCTCTTAGCTTCTTTTAACAAGCGAAAAAAAATTTATGGGTTCTATCTTCTATGGCTTGAAATTGGTGACAAATGCTTGGAATTGTCTTAGTATGACCCTTTTCCCCTTTTCCGCATATGGGCTTGCAGCTTCTTTGCATTTTTTTTTTTTTTTGGTGGTTTTTAAGATTTTACTGACTGAAGGAAAAAGTTCTGTTTTGTGGGTAGGTTTCATGGTTTGCTTCTTCCGTTGTTCTTTTTGTTTGGGCTCTGTGTTTTCCGCTTTTTGGAATGCATGTTTTTTATACTTGTGCCTATTTGCAGAAAATAAATTGAGAAAGAATGCAATGACGGCTAATTGAATATTCTTTTCATCTTTTGTATAATTTGATTATATTGTACATTTCTTTCTGAGTTGTTGAAGGTTTTCTGTGAATCAGGATTACATACCGACAGTGTTTGATAATTTCAGTGCAAATGTGGTGGTCGAAGGCACCACTGTCAACTTAGGCCTTTGGGACACAGCTGGTATGTATGATTTGGAAATTGACGTACTAATAAAGTTTCAATCTTTACTTCCAATTTCTGACTAAAGATCATTTCCATCTGGGAAAGTTTCGGTTCAATATGTTCCTTAGCCAACAAACTTGATTTAAAATCTGACTGCCTGCTACAATTTTATTGATAGGGCAAGAGGACTATAATCGCTTAAGGCCACTAAGCTACCGAGGAGCTGATGTGTTTGTCCTGGCATTTTCTTTAGTTAGTCGTGCAAGCTATGAGAACATCCTTAAAAAGGTAGATTTGCTTGCAATTTTCTTAGTTCTGTATTACAGTAGGTATTCACTTTTAGTTTGATCTCTCTATGAAAATTTCTTTTTCAGTGGATCCCTGAACTTCATCATTTTGCGCCTGGAATCCCAGTGGTTTTGGTTGGCACCAAGCTTGGTAAGATAAGAATTTCAAAAGTCTCCAGGTGTTCGTATCGTTGTGTTATCAAGATTTTAGTCGTTTCATAAACAATCACATTTTACCCATATACTTGTAATGTTATTTTGGAAAATCATTTAACAACCAAGTAAAAATTATAAAAAAAAACCGTTGAGAATTCCCTTAATCATCCTCCGGTGGAAAGCTGGGACAGAGTTAGTCAGTGTTTGGTAAAATCCAGAAATACTCTACTCCAATTCTGCAGCATTCCTTCACATGTCTGATGTTTGGGTGATTAGTTTTGTGCTTAATTGTCACTCCTGTGGCTTGAGCAGTTTATTGTCCTGCAGTGGCGAATATCTCCTTTGGTTTCTGTAGCTACTTTGCTGCGTCAGTTTGTTAAGAGTAGACTTTCTATAATGGAGATAACTGCCTATAACACCTATTTGTCCGTCAAGGGCCTCTGTTTTGCTTGAAAGGGTAATTACACATTCAATTGCCTTTTTCTATTGAAATTGAAAAACCCCTTTCTCATAGACCTACTTCCTGGAAGATTTGTGTTTTCTTCCTCTGTAAATGAACATATTAGGTATAATAGAGGCAGCCAAAATATAGATGGGCGAAGAGATTTCTGGAGGAACTCAGAGGCTGTAATGAATGAAAAAAGTGGAAAACTAGATCAAACGATAGAATTTATGGAAGCCCCTGGAGTTTTGAGTCTTGCTATTATCAAGTGAAAGGCTTTAACTAAAACTGAAAGTAGAAGGTCAAGACCCATCGATGATGTCAAAACTTTGGCACATGTCACGTGAAGAAGATCCTTTCTTTAACACCAAGAGTTGGTATCTTCTGTATATGTCATATTATACATTATTAAAATGCAAAACAAACCTCTTTTCTCTATCCATTTTGGGTGTTAAAAGGAAATTATTGTCTTCTATTCTTTCAATATGTTTCGTGAAGCAAGTCAAGTGTAATAAAGCAAAAAGAATTATTTGGTGAACAATTGCATCTTGATTGGGTTGCAGACCTTCGTGAGGATAAACATTACTTGGCCGACCATCCTGGATTAGTTCCTGTGACTACTGCACAGGTATAATTATCCTCATTGGCTTCTCTATTTTTGGGTACAATCTGATATGAAATAACTGATCATTATTGGTAAACAATTAGGGGGAGGAGCTTCGCAAACAAATTGGTGCTGCCTTCTATATAGAATGCAGTTCTAAAACCCAGCAGGTAGGTAAAGCAGCCTTTTTTTCTTTTAATGTTAATTCCTATAGGAATTTATCTGAAAAAGACAAATCAGATTCTAGAGTGGCGTTTGGTGACATTTCATTCTTCTTTACTCTGACTTACTTTTGGATGAGGCTATGCATATTAAATAAGCCAATTTATCGCTTGTCAGCCTCACTGTATTAAAAGAAAAGGATCCTTTTAGAATGAAGTTTGTCTAGCATTGTGAACCTACTCTGAATATTTTCCTCTTCTTTAACACAATTGCCTTCCCAGAGCTTATGCATCTTAAACGAGATTCTCTAATTTCGGCCATAACAATTGTACCAAACCATCATATAATATAAAGGAAGATACCATATTTTGAGACTTTTGGACTAGGAGAGTGAAGAGATAGTTTTTATGTATACATGATTATTAACTGCAGAGTAAGTATTTAGCATCTATTAGGATTAGTTCTGGTGAAGGAATGATCACTAATTGCTAGAAGTCCAACCTCATAGCTTGAAGCCATTTTTACTAAACCATAACAAGTAACTACAGTTCTGTACAAAAGTACTTGATTCCTCTTTTAGTTGTCTGAGTATAGTAGGTTTTTCAGCTGGCAGTAGTGTGTCGCAACTTCCATTTGAAATTTTACTTGGGAGATCTTCTATTGTACTTGTGATGGAAGATGGCTCCTAGTTATATGGGTCTCACTTTGAGGGTTGCATAGTACTTGGTATTTGAAACAATTGAAATAAATGGTATCATTTTTTACTTGAGGTTTTCTCTAGATTCAGTTTTTGCTTTAATTTTTTTATTTTTTCTGCTGGATGGGTGGTGGTTTTCTATAGGGATTCTATTAATTAGATATCGTCTGTACCTAAGTGCATAGAGATTCTTTCCTGGAGTTCTTCTTGGCTGGGTATTTCCACTACCTTGCCTGTCTGTGAATTTTTTCTTTAGCTTGTTTGTCCTTTTGTCTGAACTGGGTGACTTGTGCCTCTTCATGTTATAACAGAACGTGAAATCAGTCTTTGATGCTGCGATTAAGGTAGTTATCAAGCCGCCACAGAAACAAAGGGAGAAGAAAAAGCAACGCAGAGGATGTCTCGTGTTAGTAACTAAATATTTCTGCTTTTTTGGACATTTTCATATTAAGGGTTGCTGCCCACAAACTTCATTTGATATTCAAATTTGTTTCTATATTCTTCAAAAAAAAGCTTGCTTTCCACATCAGCTGCTACTTCTTCTTGTGTTTTATCTTTTACGGTTACTATTCATTAACTCTATTTGTTACTCTTTTTAAGTTGAAAGCAGTTTCAAAGTGATTGTTTGTTGGATTTTTATCTATGTCAGATGAAAGAAGTGATTCTTTTTTTTTTTTTAAAGCGATGAAAGAAATGATTCTATTATACAAGATCTACCCATTAAGAAATTTAAAATTTTATAAAATGAGATTTTTCTGGTTTAAGGTGGTGATGAATGAATTCTTGACTGGGCATCGTAAACTGGCCTATGGAGAGTTGCCAAGCCCAAATTTCAAGTTTTCAACCCATGGAAAGTCCCAAAATTTTCAGACTATGAAAAGCATGAATCTCCTCAGAATATCGACTTAGGCCAAGTAGTACATGTCCATCTTTAGCACACTATAAATGTGGTAACCAACCATTGGAGAAAAGGCATGACTAAAGACTTCATATACTGTAACACAAATCGTATGGAATAAACTTTTTATTGCTGAAAGACAAAGTCAGTTAGCAGATGCCAGGTAGCAATAGGCTGATGTATGGTACCAAAAGGAGAAGGATACTCAAATCAATCTACAAGACATGAATGATGGGTAGCTTTGGGAGTGAGAAATCCTTTGTGAGAGGTTTTATTTTTTTCATTTTTTTAAAATGAATGTCTTGCTTCCTCTGGTACTTGATTTCTGCTTGGACTAGTTTGCTTTGAGACTTGGGGGATACTTCTATTTCAATCCTTGCATCTTAAGTATCTTGCTATCATTGTGATAATGTGCATAATTTTCTGATTGAGAACTTACTGGTGGACATAGAATGTGCGATGAATCAGCATTTATTGAAGCTGGGTAAAGGATAACTACTTTAGTACACTGGAATTTGATGTGTATGGAGGCTCGTAATATGGAGATTTCTGGTCACACTTTCTGAATTAGATAATGAATGTTGCAGCTTAGTGGGCATTATGCAGGAGTTTGAATTATGTGTAATCAGTGAATCAGTACGTGTACTGCCATAAATGTTGTAAAAGTTAATTCCCCTGTAACTTTACTGATCAGTTTAAAAGTATATAAATAGCATAAAATCTTGGCAATCATTCGTCACAACAGATCACAGTGTGACAAATTGAAGTGAAAGAAAGTCCATTCTGTGTATAAACTTTTCTTGGAGAGAATAGCACAAGGAATCATAAATAATTAGTGACAGTAAATTCAGTGAAATCTTCGTATATATCCGATTGCCTATCCATGAAGCTTTCATCGTATTCTAGAAGGTTTAGTATCCAATTGTAGTTTAAAAAAGACTGTATAATACTTTCAACAGGAGTAATGTCAGCATTGGGGAAAACTTCAGATTCACAAGTCTTGTCATCCACCATCTTTAGTGAATGAGGTTGGATTTGTCTGGTATTTGGACCTCTTTTCTTCTTTCATACATGTACTGTAAATTCAAAATTCTCCTGTTTGGAGACTATGCAGTGAGGATTAAAGGGACTCGCCACTTTTATTACTCCAGAATTCTTCTGCTTTTATGTGTGGACTCCATCAAACATCTTCACCATATTACTGCTCTGTCTCTTTCCTTTCTTCCTTTCCAACTTAGGCCACTCAGTTTCATATGTGGTTTGCCCATGGAAATCTTGCATCCTCTTTTCTTTTCCCTTGATGAAATAACCTTGCATCCCATTTCAATAGGTTTATGTACTGAAATAACAGATGCAACTGTTGCTAAAAACTGCATTTGAGGATCAATCTAGACTATGTTGACATGACTCTTGTTTGCCTGATAGTCTAGATAGACAGGGTTTCCGTTAGAAGTGAAGCTTTTTGATATAAATGCCTTCCGCGCATTCTTGCTAATTTGCTTGGTTCCAGCAGTTCAGAATTTGGGCGAATCCTGCATCTTTTGTTGATCTTTTTAAAGATATACCTGCCTTTCGCTTTCTGTCACTGAGTTTGACTGCGAGGAAGCAACTTAACCTGTGTAAAATAATACTTTTCTGCCACTGTTAATTGACATTGTTTGTCTGTAATTGCAGAAACATCTTTTGTGGAAGAAGCCTCGTCTGTCTGAAATGAGACCTTTTCTTGGTAGAGGTCAATAAGTTTGACATACTAACGCTCTGTGGTGGTGCTTTCTGATATGTTGTTCGAAGTACAAATGCAGCCTGGTAGGACCTCAAAAGTTGTTTGCAAATTTAATTCAGATGCTTGAAGAATGTCCATAGCATTGTTTGTATTCGCATTTATCCAGATGTTCGAAGAAGTTCCATAGTATTGTTTCTTTATTCCTACTCTTCTCTATGTAAAGGCAAGAAGAATTGCAATGCTGATATATTGTGCCTGCTATAGCTTACAAAATAGATTTGCTGATGCTATAGCAATCTGAGTTTAGGGATTCAACAGATTGCCTGTTTCACCATTTGATATGCTAATCAATGAATGTTCCAAGGAAAAGGCACGATTTGGATAGAGTATTATTTGAAATAATTACTGTAGTACTTTTTGTGATGTGATATATGCGAGATAAAAAAATGATTGGTAATATAAAAAAATGAATTAGGAAATGTGTTTATGATGCAAGCGAAATATTATTTGGGATAATTTCACTGTCCAAACAAACATTTAACCTAAACAAACCTATTGTTTTTTCAAATAATAACTTACATCATAAGTATATTTTTCAACCCATCTTTTTATATTTTTATCTATTTTTTTATTTTACATACATCACATCACAAAAAATGCTCCAATAATTATTTCAAATAATATTCTATCCACACAAACCCAATATTTCGGAAGCCATTAAATTAAATGCCTCTCGTTAACTGGACCAAGCCACTTGTTTGTTAAATCTAGTCTTTGTCTGTGATTCTTAATTCCAGCTTCAAATTTCAAAGTTCAGTGCTCTGAGAATTGGGTTCTATCCATCCAGCCATCCACACATGAATTTCCTCAATTTCACCCTTTGAATTTTGAAACTCCTTCAAATTGTTGCTTCCAAATTTCTTCAAATTGTAATATCTAAAAATCTTAAGCATTCAGTGCAAGAATGGATAGCCAATCTTTGCTTTTCCTAGGATGACACAAGAAGATTTACTCTTGGTTTTCCATTGGAGAAAAGGTACTACTTTGGCTATCTATTTGGGAAATTAAGAAGAAGAGCATGGCAAGAACTCTAATTAAATAAAGAGGGTGCAATTGTTAACACACAATAATCTACTTTTTATAAACCTCCCTCGAAGTTTGTCAAAGTTGTAGCTCACAAAAGAAAGGAGTTTGTGAAACTGAAAGTTGTGGACAATTTTCCTCAGGTTCGGAAAAAGTCAAGAAACAGAAGTCAAGCCCCGAAGAAGTTTGTCCCCTAGAAAGTTCCCACCATTTTTCACGCTTCCATCCCTGCCACACACAATACCTCAAACTTCTTCCATGAATCGGTCAAAAGTTCCTGAGCTAAGCCCTCTTCTTTATCCTGACGTCGCGCCCAAAAATTCAGCAATTACAGCTACCAATGAAATCTACCAACATCACAAGTCAAGCCGCAAAAGTGAACTTTGAGGATTTACTAAGGCTTCTGGGAACAATTTAGGAAGCATCTGAGGAAAAAGTGATATATCCTCTATTGACCTCAATCTTTTCCTCCCCTCACCCCCCCCCCCCCCCCCCCCAAAACAACAAAAACAACACAAAAAATCCAAATTTTGCATTTTGCAAGTTCTAATATCTTGTAATCCACTAAATCCATAGGAATACATTTCCACTCAGCACAATAATTTCGCAAATTACAACACCTATGTGTTTGATGTCACCCGTCGCCTAACAATATGAGTAATGTGTGATACATCTGTTGAATACTTCCATTCACATAAAATTTTAAGTGTGCTAATTTAGTCGGGAGAAACCTCACAATCACACATCACTACATATAATTAACGACTACAATTGTAAAATTTTAAAGTGCTAATTTTTTTTTTTTGGGTGTGTGTGTGTGTGGGGGGGGGGGGGGGTTAGCTCACAATCACACATCACTACATATAATTAAAGACTCTTAGTTGTCAAAGATCACGACAATGTACTTGTTCTTGCCGCCTGTGAACCTGATAAAATGTAAGATGCAAGACCAACAGGAAAAAAAATGAAAAATATGACCTAAACTTCAATCCATGGCGTCTATACATGTTGGGTAAGGTTAATTCATGCCAATCCAGGGCAATGTTGTTTACGGGACAGCATTTTGAATTCTGTGGGATGTTTGGTAGACCTTTGTGTGCTTGTTTCCACTATTTACCCGTTTGATCATAAGAAACGAAAATTTCTGTGAAGACTTCCAAGGATGCACCAACGGACTCACCTAGACCAACTGAACCCAGAAAAGCCTTTATTTAAAACAATGAACTGAAGTAAGACGAAACTGGAACTGCATTTCTACAGTGCTTCAAAACTAGTATTCAAGTGCATTCTTTACACCAGATCAGCCTCCCAACGGCTGACTTTAACAGTTTGCCTTCGCCTAAAAAGTGTTTAGAGAAATATCCTAAACTAGCACCTGCGAAACCATTTGTTGTACAAAGAGAAAAAGGTGACATCGGCTCACCCAATTTCTCAAGAAAGTAATCTCAGGCAGAAGTCCTTTTATAAAAACTGGATAACCAACTTAAAGGGTGTATTCAACTGTTGAGGGATTGGCATACTTTTAACAAGGCAACCATAATAACATTGGTGATTGGTCTATGAGATGACACTAACTGCCCCCAGAATGAAAGTAACAACAAATAAAAAGGTACCCATAAACAATCAGAAGCACCATTTCTCCTACTAGTAACATATAATTTCCAGTTTTGTTAAGATGCCAAAAACAAGTGGATTTTCCGACTCCACCTGGAACACACTTGGCAAAATAACCATTTCCAACAGGTGTATTAGCCATACATAATCTCCAGATGTATACATCCCCTTCAATAACACTAGCAATTTTCTGCTAATGAAGTACCCTCCGTTTGCTAAGGAATTCAATTGGACAAACATTAGTCTGCATTAACACTGCTAAGGCTAGAAAGTATAACTGAAATAATGTCACATATGCAGTCAAACCAACTGAAACAAGGCATGTGAAGAAAATACTTGGTACCTGAATCGAGTGTAACCCTGTTATTACACAAAGTAACAGGAGAACAGAAAAACAGAAATCCAGCAGAAAGTACATAATGAACTTCCCCACCAACAGGTTGAGAAATCCCCATTGCAACCACTAGGCTTTTCATGTCTTATACAGCAGAGGCAAGAAGTAAGAGAATATTCCCATTACAAGTATCATCAATGACTGCTGTAAACAGACTGCAGTTTCAGTACCAGAAACAGCTCTTCCTTTATAAACTGGAAGACACGATCAACAAATTTATTCAACTGCAACGTCTGGAATCACAAGCGACTTGTATTGCCATTTTCAATGCCCTAATGGAGAGACGGAGAGAGAGATAGAGGTGGGTGGGGAAAGTAAACACGAAACACAATACTTTTGTTTGTTTCATGTATGTAAAATGCCTAGTACCTCACAGACATATATGACTGCCAACCTTATCCTTGCTCCAAAAAACCTCACATAGAGAGAGAGAGAGAGAGAGTGAGGGGCCTCGGTGGGTGTTAGCGAGGGGCCTCGGTGGGTGTTTTCGAGGGTTGCAAGAGAGTTAAGAGAAGCTCTGCTGATAACCATGAACAGAATCATAAGGTAAGTACCAGCTTGTAAGTATTTATTGCAGTCCAAAATGCAGCCACATTCCAATGAACAAAATCCCACTCTTGAGTCCCCTTTCAATTGTTCCTTTCAAGGAACTAAAACCTTCAATTATCACAACCAAGGGAATCCTAAACAATATTCACTTTGGACAACTTGTATAAATAAGAGGAACCTCTTTTGTTTGCATAGAATACAGCTCAAGGTACAATAAGACCGCCAGCTACAGTTAGAAATTTAAACAAATTTTAGGATACAAGAGCAGCCGTACCTACTAAATAAAGAAAAGCTTTAGTGCCAAAATTCGGTGTCAACCCTACTTATATATATGCAATAGGGACGAGAAAGGACTAAGAAGCAAAGCTGGACAATTTAACAACAAAGCACATACAAAAGCTTTCCTTAATTAGTTCAGAAATCCAACCATAATCCAACCTCCATACCCAGAATAGCTGGATTACCAGAATAGCTGGATTGAGAGACATTGAGACCTATATCATGTGTGATGCATCGTATCAATATCTGCTATCAGCGCATCACAGATTTCCGACAGTTAATATTACAGAGAAGAAAAAGATCTAAACCCACCCAGAAGAGTTTGCTGGGTTGAAGAGCTAGCAAAGCCCAATTGAGCACCTATTCGCCAAGCTTCTGAGCGGCTGAATAGGTCGAGGAAAATGTCCACTTACTAGCTGTCCTCCAGGAGAAGACCCATCCAATGATGATGAGACCATATACATGCAGGTCAGACAGTGTCCCTTTGAGAGCTGCAAACAGCATATAGCAACCAAAGAGTCACTGAAAAGAGCACAAAAAGGCCTGACTAAAGCCAATAGAACTTCACATCCAATTTCCCAAATCCACAAACTTCAATAAAATGCATGTGGCAAAAATGCAAGAAATAGTCACATCATCAGTCCAACAAAGTTACATGAAACCATTTCTTAGGTACAATAACTCCATCAATGAAATCCCCCAGGCTAATTTCATCTTTCTTTCTCCATGTACAGCAATGGTTTCAAATAAAAATTGGGCACAGTAAAAACAGTAGACTATTTACACAGTCAACATGCATGGAACTGCATTCCAAACAACAGTAAAATTCCATAATCTCTTCTTTTTCCTATTTCCTTTATTGGCTTTTCCTTGATTTGGCATTCCTTTCCTTTTTTTCTTTTTCCTTGTTTAAACTGAAGTCGAAGAAAGCAACCTTTACTGAGGACATAAAAACTCATTTGTCTCATTTAAACAGTTATTGTAATCATGCCATGATTTAAGGCGAAAAACAGCAAAGCAAGATGCAAAGCGGTCTTTGACCATTGCACTCACATATGTACTCAACTACATGCGTGATGTAAGATAAGAAAAGAAACTCACTGAGTAAGAAGATTCCTCATTCTGCAATACTTAACAACCTCACTGCCAGGAGGATTGCTTGTACCTGAAGCCTTCACCATCCCACCCTCCATCAGGCTCTTTCCTTTTCAGAACACCACCAGACAGTGGAAACATCCTCACTTGCTCCTCTGCTAGCGCCTGTGAACTGCCAACAGCAAGTTGTCTTTGTGCCAATGACTCCTCTCTGCCTTCAATATCTAACACACCAGGGCCTGCATTAAGGTCCAAACCCTGCCTACTCCACTTCCTATTACTCTCCATACCTCCACTATTGCTACCGTCAGAAACGCTTACCATGTAAGGCCTTGGAAATTGGGATGAAACTGCACCAACAGGTCCTAAAAACT